ACACACACACACACACACACACACACACACACACACACACAGCGCGCGCGCACGCACGCACACCCTCATGAACCTACTTTAGATTGAGTAAGCAAAACTCGCATGCATGACGATGAGTTGCAGTTTACGGCAAGGTGGCACGGTCCCAGCCTAGTTATGTCATCGGGGAAGGGGGTCGGTCTGAATTCGTCTTTGCACTTGCGTCACGCTAAGCTAACGACCTTGTAGGGATTTTTAAAAAGGGTTAAAAGTGAAGTAGGGTTAAGACGTCTGGGAAACTCGGGTATTCTTGTTTGCAAGCACCAATCACTCGTTGAAAGACTCTGCAAAGCCTCTTAAGCCCCGTTTAACACAGTTAATGTTCTGTAAGCCGTGGAAGTGGGAGGTGTTACAAAAAACATTGTTTTGTGTTTTCGATTCTATTGCTGGAAACTAAAGGGGATTTGTAACTGTCTGGTGTTTTTAATTTGTTACAGTATTTGACATGTTAAAATTGCTGTCGACACGAACTACTTTAAATTCCCTTTGTTTCTTTTCTTTATGGTCGGCGTCGTTGGTAGCTGTTTAATCGATTTCCATTTTGAGATTTTTCCTTTCAAATCAATTATAGCCGCCTGACCGTCTTGTATTTAGGAACTTCATAACAGTATGCATATACATTTGCACTTTAGGCTCCTTTAGCATATGAAACCCGACACTCAAGGCCTGATCAACCTACGCTTTAGTGACCAGCTTGTTGAGCTCTGCTGTGCAATAAAATGGGGAGAAACATGAAAGTGAGTTTGTTGTGACGCCGTTCAACTTTAGCGAAGTCTGCTTTCGGATAGCCCTCTGGGTGGTTGGCGGGTGCTCTGGTGTGGCTGGCTCCTTCTTTCCTATTAGGTATCAATCGTCTTTATGTCTCTTCTTTCATTTTGCGTTTGTTACTCTCTTGTACTTACCTATTTGCTTTATTTTTATCTGCCGCTTATACCCTTTTGGGTGTCGTGGGAAGAAAGAGTCGTCTCTCTGTCGCCAGCCGGAGAGCTTGGGTCATGGAGATGCCGTGAGGTGTCAGTGTTTCCCTGACTCCATCTATCCAGGTCTTTCTCGGTCGCCCTCCAGCCTTGTTGCCATCGAATTTTTTAAAATGTAGACACGTTGTTCTGGATGGTGTGTTGGTGATCGCATGAGATGTCCGAACCGTTTGATTCTTTGGTGTTGGATGTGATACTCTCTGTAACACATGCAATCTTCGACGCTTATATAGGACCTTATTTTATTGCAAGTGCCTTTACTAAAAAGGACAACCCTTTTATCTTGAGTGAAACCCCCTGTGGACTGCACAACTCGGG